CCACTTCTCCCCACTGCTATCTCACAGTGTGGTCCTCGGATCTCTGAGCCTCAAAGGCATCAAGTGGTTGAGAAGGTGAAGAGCTATGTTTATGCCAGGGTTTCTGATTTAGCCAAGGTGTTCCTGAGCCTGCCTGGATGCCACATCTGTGGGATTGTGTTCTCTGGGAAGGAAGATGAGGATCAGGACAGTCATACTCCCGGGCTTTCCGCAGTCCCCCAGAGTTCCCTTTTCCAGACTTCAAGTCCACACCCAGGGTTTCTGCTTCCAAACATTCCATCACTTTCCAGTTACAACGTTTCCTTATCTCTCATGATTTCCTTCTTTTGTGGCCACCCTTCCCATTGTGATATGTGATTGGGTGGAGTGCTGCTCACTCTTGAAGTGGTCTCTCTGGGCTCCATCTCCACCTCTCCAGAGACCCACCCACTGTGCTGTGGAGTTGGAGGGTTTGGCAGGGGCTCCTGGGGACTTTGGCTCAGCAGTTTCTTCCCAAAGACTCATTCCAAGTGTGGCTGAGTGGCGACCTGAAAGACAGTTTTTGGATAGAGTATGTATATAATTGTAATGGGGGTCATCCTGGAACAGCTCTCAGATAGAGATTTGAGTGTAAATTTTAGGTTGAGCTATATTACATTGGCATTTTTTTCTTTAAATTTGTTCTTTTTATACATGACCGTGGAATGTATTTTGACATATTATACCTACCTGAAGCATAACTTCCCATTCTTGTGATGTGGAGTTATACTGGTCATGGATTCATACATGAACATAGGAAAGTTATGTCCAATTCATTGTATTATCTTTTCTATTCCCATCCTCCTGAAATTGGCATTTTTTATAAGTTAAAGAAGGCCAAATATCAGTAATATCATATGATTCCATATTTGCTTATTTATATTTCAGAATTGAGGATTGAACCCTGGGGGTACTCTCCCAGTGAGCTACATCTCCAGCCCCCGCCTTTTTTTTGAGACTCCATAAGTTGCCGATGGTCTCACTAAGTTGCTGAGGCTGGCCCTGAACTTGTGGTCCTCCTTCTTCAACCTCCTAAATTGGTGGGATTACCAGTATGTGCCACCGTGCCCCGATCTGCTAATATTCTATTTGGCAGGTGAAGTAGACATGAACGGGAGAGTGGAGGAGTGAGAGGAGAGAGAAGGCAGCCAGCAAAAAGATTCATTTTCTAACCACTTTCTCTGTGGGCAGTTGAAGCTTCATCCTCTTGGATTAATTGAGGGAGACAGCACACATCACATACCTCATTATCCTACCAGAGGAGCAAGGAAAGTGAGTATTTATACACACTGACCTCAGCTTTGGTTGGGGGTTCTTGGGAGCCAGGGGCTAGGGACATTATGTTCTTGGAACTGCTGGCACACTGCACTAATGAGCTGGGGCACAACAGGCATTGTTCACTACAAAGATACAGCCAAAGACACAGCAGCGTTAGTAGGGACTGTTGGATGTCGGCCATGGTGTCCTGAGTACGGGAGGGAAAGGGCACCAGAGGTCTGCCAACAGCACGTGCTGCAGGAGCTGTGCCAGTGCATTCCAAAAGTGCCTCTAGTGTGCACTTTGAGGCTCAAACTCAAGTCGACAAGAAAATGCAATCACTTTTCTCCTGAACAGTTGTTTTCTATGGGACCCCATTCTACAGAACTAGGGAAGTGAAATCTCAGCACTTTGACAGTCTTACCCCTTTCCTAGAATTGCATCAATTCCAGGCAACTGGTTGATGCCTAGACCTAGGATCATGGTGGGCTCTGGTTCTTGGTGGCATCTGTTCTCATGAGCCTCCACTTAGTCCTCATGTCCTGCTTTCCCTGGTGATCACCAGCCCGACACATCCATACTCATAGTAGTCCACCAACACCTTCAGGCTTGACTCTTTATTGAAGGTATCATTTGTTTGCTTCGATGCCAGTCTAGGACACAGACTTGGGCTACCTGTGGCATTGTTCACTTTGGACTCACCATGTTTCAGGTCCCTCTGCCCTTGATTCCTACCAACTTTAGGATTCTGGCCAGGAGGCAGGAACAGGGTCCCTCTGATGTCTACACTCGTCTGTGTCCCTCTTACTTGCTCTTCCCCAGTTCTGGGAACATTTTTAAATTTTGTATGGGCTAGAAAGAGAACCTTAATTTCCTCTAATTCCTGTACTCAAAATCCAAGAGAAAATTTAGAGATCTTCCCTAAGGTCTGGCCATTTAGGTGGCAGGAAGGCCATATGGGAGAAACATGACTTAACGTTTTAAAAGGTTATTTTGCCTTAGCCCCCAAGGAACACATCCTGGCCCCAGATGAGACATTGCAGCACTAACCCTCCACAGGTACCCTGTCTACTACTTTCTGCCTTCTGGCCCTGATAGCTTGTGTGATGTAAGAGAGAAAGTTGTTAACTTAAACAATGGGGTCCATGGTATAATTAACTTAGAGTCCATGGTATAATTCAGGGGATCCCTGAATTTGGATGGGAAACAATTAACATTTTAATTTTCATTAGCTCCCTTCATTAGCCTCCTTCAATTACAACCATAGGCAACAAAGCACAGTAATGTCCGCAGGACCTGCCCCAAGGATCTTGAAATATTGTTCATATTCCTCACTGCCCTAGACTGAGTGTGTGTGTCCTTCTACCCTCCATATGTTGGAACCTAATCCCTATTGGGATGATGTTGAAGGTGGAGGCCTTGGGCAGTGTTTTGGAGCCCTCCTGGATGGGATCAGTACCCATATGAAAGACCCCCATCAAGTTCCCTCTTTGCTCTGTCAGTGAGCTCATGGTAAGAAGGCATCACCTAAAGGGACCCTCAGCAGACACCGAATATGCACGTGCCTTGACTTAAAACTTCCCAATCTCCAGAATTGTAAAAAATAAATTTCCAGAATACACAGTTTATGGTATTCTGTTACAGCATTCCCAAGGGACGAAGACTATCACTATTGTGGCAGTTGTAGGATCCATCACTAGGTCGTTTTTCATATGTTAATCTTGATAATGCATATATTGTCATATCATGAGGGTTTAAAAATGTTAATAACTATTTCAGAATAAATATTTAACTTTTTTTAAATTTCTAAGTTGTGGATGGACCCCAGTACCTTTATTTATTTATTTCCAGGTTTAACTTTTTAAGATACATGCGGTTATGGATCTGTAAGAAATAATACAGAAATAATCAAGAGTACTTTCGCCCAGTTCCCTCAGCAGTGACCTCTTGCATAACTGTGGTGTACCCTCACAACCAAGGATTCCACATCGATTAAATCCACGGGTCTTATTCAGATGTTTCAACTTTTACATGCACCAGTTTGTGTGTGTATTTTGTTCTGTATAACTTGGTCACATGTGTAGATTCATGTGACCACCACCACTGTGAACACACGGCACGGTCCTGTGGCTACATGGATCCCTCACGTGGTCCTTTGAAAACCAGACATTCCTCCCTTCTCCCTTCCCTAGGCCCTGCCATCCACAGATCTGTTTTTTATTTGTATAATTTGGATCATGTAAATAATGTCATGTAATGGCATCTCTTACCTTTAGAAATTCATGACTCTCAGAAATACATAAACTGTTGAAATTGTTTTTTTTTTCCCCGTCCAGCACAGTCCTCTTGCAACCCATCCGACTTGTTTGTGAAGATCAACAACTTGTTCTTTTGTCTTATTGGGTGATGTTCCATAGCAGGCATGGACTGATTGCTTAACCATTTGCTTGTTGAGTGACCTTTGGATTATTTCCAGGTTGGAGCTATAATTGTTTTTTTTTCCCTAAGTGTATTTATTATTTTGGTATTGAGAACTGAACTCAGGGCACTCTACCTCTGAGCTACATCCCCAGCTCTTTTAACATATTTATTGATTTTTGAGAAAAAGTCTGTCTCAGTTGCTGACACTGGCTTCAAACTTGTGATCCTCCTGCCTTAGCCTCCCAAGTAGCTGGAATTCCAGGTATGTTCCACCATGCCCGGTTATAATTTGTATTAAATATATTTTATTTTATATTAAAAGAATATTGTTCTGAGAGGGAACTCAAAGGCTTTGCTGGACTGTCCAAGGGACCCATTGGTACAAAATGTGATTCTAAGGGGAGAAGCATCTTTCCCTTCACATGATTCCCTTCCATCCACAGAGACTGCGAGGGAATGGGAGCAGAAAGGGGCAGAAATCTAAGAGCTTCACCAGGTCCTCTGAGCTCTTGGGGTGATATCTGAAGCAGATAGTCCCTGTCACTGAAGGGACAACCAGAGTTGAGCTGCACTATAATGACAGGAAGTGAGCCTGTGGCCTAGGGAGTCATAAGATGACAAGGCACCCAGCCTCAGGGCAACTTGAAAATTAATCACGTCCCAAACCTCAGGAAAATCTGCCTTTCTCAGGGAGCTTTGAGGAGAGAAAGCACAGTGATAGATGGAGCCCCACTCCTGCATGCAGAGGAATGAGAACAGCTGTAGTAAGTGAGCAGTGGGGAGGATGGGAAGTTCAAGGAGCAAAGGCCCAGAGCTAAAGTGACAGATCCCAGGAACTGTGCAGGGGCCATCCCCAGCTAGGGACAAACCCATTGTCAAAGGACAATGTGATATCAGCTGACACTGATTTCATGTGTTAAGAGTTTTCTTAGTTTAGTTGTAGAAGTGAGGAGAATTCTCTTAGTGATAACCTTCCATCCTCCCATCGCCTAAAACCAGCCATCCATTGGGCAGTTTCAGGTGGAGTTTGTGTTCTGTTTCCTCTTTGTATGCCCAGCCCTGGGTGGTACTGTGGCTTGGGTAGGGATCTGGTAGCCAAGTGCTATGGAATGCCAGTAGCTAAGAAGCCATTTAGGAGGAAGATGCTCAAGCAGATAGGAAAAGGTCTACAGGAGGAGAATATGTCATCAAAGTTAAGTCAGGTTCCTATCACACAGCCACAGAAACCCAGCGTCATCTGTGAAGGAGTCTGGTGAACATCTTCAAACCCAAATCTGATCACACCTTTGACTTTCACTTTAAAGGAAATGCAGAGGATAGAAAGCCATGCTAAACAATACCAGAGGATGCAGTAAACAACATCCAGACCTTGGGAAAATTAATATACAGCAGGAACAACCAGTTTCCTCAGTAAATAAGTTGAAAGGGAAAGCATGAAGATGGAGTTGGAGAGGGACTGGGAGATGAAAAACATCTGTCTACAATCATCATCATCTTGTGCAGCTATCGTCTATCTATACGCATATATGTATACAGGTACGTCAATCACTCATAACGTGGACTTTATTTGAATTCTGATTCAAATTCATGATAAATTGAAACATTATGGCATTTATATGGGAGTGACTAGATATTTGATGATAGGGATTCAGTGTTGACTTTTTTAGGTGTGACACTGGTCAGAGTCCTTATCTTTCAAAGGCACCTCAAATATTTAAAGATTACATAATATGATTTCTGCTATTTGCTTCAAAATAATACCAAAAGTAGTAAGTAGGTGGCAGAGTAGGCAAAAGAGATCGGCTGCTGATTGGTCATTGGTGGGCTGGGTGGGGGATGCTTTGGGAGCTCATTATACCCATCTGGCACTTTTGGAGGTCATATTTCAAATTTGCCATAATAAACAACTTATATAATAAAATGGCAGGAAATATCTGATGAGGAGGGGAAAACATCTGGATTCAGAAGGGAGGGTGCAGTAAACCAACAGGGTGGAGGCTGAGGGTGGAGTTGGGGATAGTCGGGTCCAAATCCCAGCCCTGAAATTTAGAATTACCTAATCACTTTGTGCCTGATTTTTCTCATTTTAAAATGGGGTTGTAGGAGGATGGGACAGCTTAATATGTGTGGGTTTGGAAAGCAGATCTAGTCCAGTCAAGTGCAAGGCAAGCACGAATGAGTATGTTATTCTGCCTTTTGTGCTCTGTCTGGGGTGTGGGCCAGAGAGGTACTTGGGGAGGTTGGGTGAAGAGGTGAAGGAGTGGTTTGGGGAAAGGTCTCCAGTTCTCAACTGTTGATTAGCAGCCAGCTTTTTGAGTTTCCAGAGACACTGAAAGTATTTAAAAGGAAATAACTCTAGAGAAATTAGACTGGCTACTCAAAGCTGGCAGCCATCCACCCACTTCCAAGCCCAAATGCTACTATTTGCCATTCCTGACCTTGAACTGGCTGGGTGTCCAGTTTCCAGTCATGGGCTTGCAGAAGCACAAACATCAATCTCCAAGGGTAAATTCTTAGAGTCAAAACAGGATGTCACAGATGATGGGCGCATGGATATCTCTGAATCCCACCCTCTACAACTGGTCCATGGGCAGGGAAACTGAGCTCCTGGGAATCCTGGGGTGGTGGGATCTTTGTATATAAGAATCATTGAAACTGGTGTTAGGTAAAAGCAGGTAGCCTGGCCTAATCCCCAGAGAAGATATCTGGAAAGCCACACCATAACTCTAAAAAGTAATATATGGCTGGAATAAATGTCTTGATTTCAAAGAAATATATTTACATCAAGGCAAGAGATTGGGATCAGGGGAAGGGTTACAAGCTCCCTGTTTAGTGTCAGCAGCTCCCTCCAGAGGCCCTGAGCACAAGTTCCTATGAAGATGTACTAAAGAGGAGACATCATAGGTCTGGAATGGACAGACAGCCTGGGGGCTGTGCAGAAAGAGGAAATAGGAGAGGTGAGCTGAGAGACATTTGCTTCCTGTTGTGCGGTCAATGGAGCATGATAGGAAGAAGTTGGTCTGAGACTCCCGCAGAACATCTAATCAAAGTGAGTAAATATGGGCACTAACCAAGCTTCTAAATTGGTGGGTAAATTTGTGGTTTAGGAATTCAAGAGTCTTAATGCCCTAGAGGAAGACTTGACAACCTGCTCATAGGCTCAGCTAGAACGGGATGAGCTTTGTCTCACGAAGACAGAGAAATGGAGAGAAAGAGACAGAGTGAGCTAGAGGATGAGGCAGGGCCAACCAGGCCTCTCCCATCAAAGTGCCAATCTGCAAAGTGCCAGTTGGGTGATGCTGGCAAATCAACTCCTGCTCTGCGTGGGGACAGTGCCAGGTACTCCGTGCAGATGAACAAGACCCTGACTGTGAGGAATTCGCAGTGTGGTAGGGAGATAGATGTGTCCCTAAATGATACAGGAATGAGAGCAGGGGAAGAGAGAGGCCTGGAGAAACTCATGAAGGCTCCCAGCGGGTGGTGGGCCTAGAGCTGAGTGGGGGGGGCGGGGATGGGGGGGGGATAGGGTGTGGGGGGGCGTGGGAGGGTGCAAGACAGGAAGGATCCTTTGCAGCCCAAAGGTTCACAGGTGCACACTCCTGGCTCAGCTGAAGAGAGAAGCAGGTGTTTTGAAAATATGATGCTAATTTTCACTGTAACTGTGGATGTAGCCCATATGTTAAGAGTGGAAGTATGTTAGGAAGTACATCAGAACAGTGAAGGAGTCTAGGTCTACTCTAAAGGTGAGGCAGCATTGCAACCCTGGGAGGAGCCCTGTACCCAGCTCCTGACCTCAAAAACTGGGTCCACTTCTCTCCCAGGGCAAACAGAATCCTTGCATGTCTTAAAACAAGAGAAATGTATCCACAGCCTTCTCCCTCAGGCTCACTTCAACACTGGCAAATGTTTCCTTTCCTGGGCTAGAGCTTCTCTGGCAGCTGTGTACTGCCTTGTCTCCTTTGGCTGCCCTTGTAACTGGTGGAGAGCAGCTGGTAATCGTCCCTTGGGTGGAGAGTATTTCCTTTGCAAATTAGGAAAAAACTTTGGGTAGGTGCTGCCAGCTGCCTGCTGCTTTGGCTTCTCAGCCCAGCAGGAAGGGGGATGCAAGCAGGAACAATTCAGGATGTGAGTTTGGTGGTGCAGGAGGGAGGATGAATGGCTGGATGGCAAGTGGCAGGACTAGAGGCCACCTGGCTGGGTTCAACCGTATCTGTAACTTCCTGCCTATGGAGCTCTGACACATGTTCCCTGACTGCAGCCTGTCTATTCCAGGAAAAGGTCCCATCCTTGCTGGGAAGGTGCCTTGGTGAGTTCCAGGGAAACCCAACTACCTGCCAGATAGCGTTTGATGTGTTCTGGTTGGGAAGTGACATGGAAGGCAGGTGACTTAGCCTCTGGAAATGTCTCATTAGAAAGTTGGTGCAACAGGAAGCAGATGGGTTGAGATATTTTAAAAAAGGATGAGACAACTTGATGAGCAAGATAAATAATGATAGTAATAGAATTAAATAAATGCCCTTGAATCCCTATTGATATAAAAAATAAATAAATTAGGAGAAGGACCAAATTCTTTCTTATAGCAAAATTCCAATTAATAAATATGGAAAGAATGAAGGAAATGGAAAATTGTCAATTGGCAAACACCACAGTAATGATTGATTGTTGGAAAGTATCATCAATGGATACTAAAATTAGTGGGCAAAAGGATGATGAGAAACAGGATAGTTGCATCATTTCCAAGAATCTGTCCACAAAAGTCTTACTAATTAAAAGGAATAAATAGTAATTTTACAGTGGAAAAACTTGGCAGAAACTAGCTTTCCTAAATGATCAAAGTTAACACCACCAGTAAAGAGACATACTGAAATTGTGTACCTCTGATATATGATGCACTGAGGACACCCATCACTTCTGTACTGTTCTACCCAAAATGCATAACCCCAGTTAGATCATGAAGAGACATCCTGAAAGAAGTGGACAGCATTTTTTAAAACCATCAAGGCCATGAAACATCAATGTTCACACTAACAGAACATTAGTGTGACAGTTGATGAAATTTAAATAAGATCTGTGTATGAGTCCCTCTTATGTTGCTATAACAAAATACCCAAGGCTGGATGCTTTATAAAGAAAAGAGGTTTATTTAGTTCACATTTCAAAAGCACAGTGCTATTACCATCTGCTCAGCTTTGGTGAGAGGACTTCAGGGCAGGTAATATCATAGTGAGAATCCGTGTGGAAGAGATCACGTGGCAAGACAGCATTCTTTGAGGAACTAAGCTACTCTGAGAGACCAACATTAATCCCTTTCAAGGGCAGTATCCCTATGACCTAACTACCTTCACTAATCCCACCTCTTGAAGTCCACTATCTCTTAATACCACTACACTGGGGGCCATGAATCTCTGGGAGGACATATGGCTCAAACCACAGCATTCTGTAAGTTAATAGTATGGTGTCGATGTTCATTTCCTGGTTTGGATCATTGCATTATGACTATATCAGATGTCAATGCTGGGGAAAGCTGATTGACAAGTACACAAGAATCCTGTATATTATTTTTTGCAAGTCTAAAAATAATTTTAAAATAAAACCCTAAAAAGCAGGAGTGGTGAAGAAGGAGCCCAGTTTCTAGAATTTAATTGTTGTCTGAGAGGTAGCCAGGACTTCGTGGCTCTTTTGGGCAACTCTCTGGGCCTTATTCTCTGGAGCAATTGATAATTCACATTTGACCTGGAAAGATTTAGAGATCCATCTTCCTAGAGGATCCTCTGGTCCCCTCTGTCTGAGTGAAGATTTGTCACGGGCTTTATCTCTACTCTGGGTGGCCTGTGGACCCCAGAGAAAGGCATTGTCTAAGTCCATGTCTACCCCTGGGGACATTCAATTTCCTGATGCCAGTCTGAGGGATCAACCCCACCCTCAATACAGATGCAAAAACCTCAGAGAGGTGAAGCCATCCTCTGTAGGTCACACAGCTGGTAAATACAGACCTAGATTCAAGGCCAGCTCTCTGTGACCTCAATACCAGGGCCTTGAATCCACTTGGCATTACTGCTGTACTGCATCTGCTATGTGTCAAGCAAACAGCGGCCCTAGAATTGAAGGTGTCCGACACCCTGATCCTGGACCACATGGGAGAGGGACCTTCATACTTCTGAGCATATGCAGATATTTATTAAATCAGTCTCTGCTTTTACCCAGCCCTGGGCTTGAGCTAGAGAATCAGATATGGTCCTTGCTCTGAGAGCTCCTTATCCAGTGAGGACACAGACAACTAAATCTAGCTCTACAGTGCTGGGATGGAGTGGTGTGGGGAGAAGGAGGGGAGGAGAAAAGATGGGTTTGGAAAGTCAGGAGTTTGGATTATTGCTGTTACTCTGGTTGAAACCAACAGCATAACTTGGAGAGAGTTATGGCTGGAGGAGACTCCGGGGAGTATAGAGTAGAGGAAGATGGACAGGGGAATCCTGCTGGGGGCATGTCCAGCATCTCTGACGCTGGGTGTGAGATATCTGGCAGTTGGGCTGGAACGC